GCTGAATCGGTATAGTGGGTGCTGGTCTGCGGTGTGAAATCGAGGGTCTGAGATTTTTCACTGCTAGAGGGAAGATACGAAGGTTCATCTCTACTAGCTGTGCCTTGGCCAGAACGGCTGAGTAGGTGCTGAGCTCAAATAGGTACATATGTTGTCTGATCTCAAGATGGAGGCCCCATTCGAAACTTTATTATCTTTCTACCTTCATCCATCATACTCTTGGGGGAATACTAACCTAACTTTAGAAACTTTTAGGCATACTTTGATACAATCATATCACCCTGAATTAAGTGTATAAACTCTATTTCTTTCAAATGCCAAAGGTGCTCTAGGAGGTACTATATGTTGAAGACCATCAGAAACTATTTCCAAGTGACTAAAATGGGCAGGGTGGCCTGCTTGAGCTGCCACCAATGACCTGCCTCTCCCACGAGCATGTAGATGGCAAGTATAACCTTATGTTTAAAAACTACTTCAAAAGTTACGAAGGCATTCTTTGTCTCAACTAACCAATACTCGGTCTTTTCAAAAAAGGATATCTCTGCAAAGGTAGATGAGTTTAGTCTTTTATACCTTTTAATGTAATTTGGTCCATCATGGGTGGAACTGAGTCTTGTGGAAGAGGGACTAGATTGTGGTGGGGAGGGACCGAGTGGCCTTGTGGTGGCACATAGTTGTATAGTAGGGCCACTAAATTGTATTGTGGTGGTGCCGAATGATACAATGGAGGAGTAGGATTGTACTGTGGTGGCTTCGAATCTTCCCGTTACAAGGGTGGCTCAAACTGTGGCAACGGGAGAGGGTCAGATAGCTCCCTCCTTTCCTTTTGGGCCTGCTAGGCAAAGATGAGTCTCTCTAGCATCTCAAATAGTCGATCAACATCCTCTCAAAGTGAACCATCCCAGACTACTCGATTTAGTGGAAGCCTTCCTATCTTCATATCATTGTACCTGCATTTCACAATGAAGGGTTGGTGACAACTTGTATTTTTGTGTTTTTAAGTCTTTGTGTAAGGAATGGTTCTGAGAAACGTAGCTTTGATACCAACTGTAAAAGCCCGAACCAAATGAAAATAATTTATTATCTGAATGCGGAAACAAACAATAAAGTTAGGATTTACATTCTTTATCCAATAAATTAGAATGCTTAATAGGACTATGAGAATGTCCCTTCTACGTTGGTTCATAAAAAAATAAACGATAATTAAAAAATAAATAAATAGATATCATAGGGGGGTTAACCTCCCCTAGCACTTGAAGGGAGTCCGGGAGGTGAACTACTTATAACCTTCTTACTGATCGAGATCTGGATCTTGATCTTCTTGATATGAAATAGTTAATAAAATGGTGTGCTACACTAGTGCAAAAGGATATCACACTAATCACTGATACAGAAAACCAAATATTAGTAAAAATCTCAAAACAACCAATAGAGATATTGATTTAAGTAAATACATTTAACATTAAAATATTTATTTCATACTTGCTGTTACGGATTTTCAAAAATCAACACATGAAGAAAAGTAACCAAATGACATTTTAATTTCATACATAAGATTCGTAACTTTTTCTTTTAACCTACTAGATAGGATCCTTGGAGGGGTTTATAGGGATATCTTCTTATTCGTGAACCCAGTATTTGAATTGACAATTAACTCTCCCATACCCCGTCCGATGATGGGCGCCAAACATACTATCGTTTCGATACCTCGTCCAGTATTAGAATAAATTATATCTCCCAAAATCTGTTATGGGACTTCTCAGCCCAATTCGGTTGAGATAATGCCCACAATAGGGTTCCTTATGTACCGGATCCGTCCACCATTTTCCAAGGTACCTAGTAAGTTTTTATATATAAAGATCTTTATCATCCCAACAACCACTAATCACATATCAATACCTCATTACGTATTTACAGATTAACCTAAAAGGCATCTAAGTAATCAATACAATTTATGATAACCAAGTAACCAAATAAACAAATAAACAGTCCAGGGGGAACCAAATAAACCAGATAACCGAGGACACAGTTCAAACTAGAAATTTAATACACATAATTCAATAGTAAACATACATGAGAAAATAGAGAGTAAACTAGAAAAATCATATAATGACTAGTTTCAGCTTCACTAGTGACCTGTAATTATTATTAGAGTTCTTCTAATTTTTACAAAACACGGAATTATTAATTTTTAAGTCTCAATTTACAGTAACAGAATAGAGTGATAGATCATTATCCGGATCGATATTTTGAAACGCTATACTATCCATTACGCCTCCTAATGGGTCCTAAGTTTCTTAATTTTTTTTTGTGAAAATCAAAATACTTGTTTCGTACCAAAAAATATCACAAAAATCCAAAATCGATGTAGAAAACCCCTTTCTGGTTAATTTTATGGTTCTAGCACGACGGTCTGGCGTCGGCTCTACCGCTCACGGCGGTTGTTCGCTTTGGCTTGACTGATTTTGCCCTATTTTTATCGGTTTTGGCCAGTTTTACACATATCCCTTTAAAAAAATATGTTAGAAAGTCTCGGTTGGCTAGAAAAATAAAAAAACCGAACCTACCGGTGGGGGAGTCTTCAGGTGCAGCGGCTCCACCGGTTCTCCTTCGCGGCTGAAGTTTCTTCTTCGGCTAACCAGCACAGAAAAACGGTGAGCATAATGACTAAAAAATCGTGTGAAATGGGAAACGGGAAGGGGGGTCATTAAAAGGGTTTAGGATTTTTGCTGCAACGGCTCTGTTCGCGATTTTTGGCTCACCTTCCACCTTTTTTGCTCTGATATAGCCATAGAGAGGCTCGGAATTGAATTTCGAGAGGAAATGGAAAAATTTTACCTTTTTTTGGCGATCGAAAGTAGCTCCAATTGTGCGGCGGCCGGTGGTCGGTCTCCTTCTATGGCGTATGATTCTTCTTCTCCGGCGATGGCAGATGTGGCTAGGGTTAGGGTCCCTAGGATGCAATGTTTAAATACCCATCCCATGTCAATCTGAGTCGTCCGTTTGGGGATATGTGACTCTCTCTTGTTAGTTGGATCTATCTTATTTGGAAAATAAATTTGGACCGCATGATCGGATTGAATCTGATCGTTCGATCACGCCTAAAGAGGGAATACGTCTGGGCTGTTCACGCGCGTGAGATGAGATCTGGACCGTCGGACACGCGGATCGCTCGCGTGGCTTCCCACGTGTTATTGATGTCAGCGAGGGTTCCACGTAGCGTGCTCTGGTTTGCTGAGGCTGCTGACCGAACTATCCCACGTGGCTGAACTTTTCTTTCTTGCGATTTAACCCCTATTTTTAAATTTCTTTTAAAAATACTTTTCGCATTCAAAATTCACCTATTTTCTTCAAGATTATTTTTAATTTCGTTCATAATTTATTTATTTTTTTAAATTAAAATAAAACAATTATTTTTATAATTATTTTATGAATACAAAATTCATCATGGGTTGATTTTTGAGTTCAGACATTACAAATTTAGTGAAATTTTTTACCATAATCCTAACATTTTATTCATTTTTGCGTGAAAGTATTCAATTAAGTTAAAAAATTTAGTCAAACATGTTTAATAAATTCAAATAAACATTAAGAATATCAAAAATGATTTTTTAGAAAATGGATGTATGTGTGTGTGTGTGTGTGTGTATATACACACACAAAAAAAAAAATTATTGAGCCATGGGTATTTTCTTTCATAATCTTTTATATGGTCAAACACTTTATTCTAGCACTTTTTCTTTTTAAGAAAAATAAAAAAGCTGAGAGCTAAAAGATAGAAAGGGAAAATGGTATCGTAATAGAAGGCATACCTAAAATAAGTTAAATACTTTAATAAAGACATAAATTAATATTTTAATCGACCTAAATATTTATAGCTAAATAAATAAATAATATGTTCTCTATAAATAAATAAAATTAGGAAGTCCTAATCAATTTTTTTTATAATAATAATATTTATTTATTTTTAATTTAAACGCCAATTTTATTGTGTATTGGTCATTAAGGGAATGTGGCTTGCAATTATGGACTCGTGAAGGCATGGGTTTGTCTTCAGCTAACTAATCCGCGGCACACACCACGCACGTGTCTCCCGTGCTTCGTATAATCCCACCTACTTTAATTTAACGTTATCACATTTCATTTTCTACGTCAATTCTTGAATTAATTATTTTTCTTTTTCAAATTTTCTTATTCCCTTAATTTGAAAATCATCTTAAGAAGTTAATATTTGCAAGACATTTATTAATTTGAACGTTTAATTAATAATTTTATGATTACGTATTTGTATTGTTTATGAAAACCATATATTATAATCTTAGGATTAATTATTCCCCACAAGTTATGTATTATGAATACATACATTTAGATTTCTTTCTTATATATTTTTTTAATTAACTTAATGGGTAAGGCTCTTTTTCTTGAAATATTTTTTTAATTGAAACTTACAAACTTATTTTATAATTGTGAATCAAGCATCTAATGTAATTATGGTTTTTACGATTACAATTTGATGAATTTTCTCTCTTAATTTTATTTTTGCCAATCCTACACCGGGCTCCACTATTTATTTATTATTATTTTTTCCTATGCTATATCTTTTTATTTTATTATTCTTTTTTCTTTTTTATTTGGGTAAAGTAATACTTCATCATGCTTTTTTAGGCTTTTACACCCTTATCCATCATTTCCTCCTTTTAGCAAACTAAAATACAAAAGAGAGACTCTGCCAATCACGCGCTCTCTCTTGTCGGATCCCCAGTGGTCTCACACTAACAAGACATAACGCTTTTCATTTCTATAATCCTCATGTGCCACGTCACCTTGTCACGTGCCAACTCACATTCTCCCGCTGCTTACATCAGCATCCCACGTGGCGCCACCATGCATACATAAACCCCACTCGAGTCCAAAACCCATATATTAAAATAATAACCTTAAATTAGAAAATAACTGTTTTATTTATTTAATAAATAAATACCAAACCGGATGCGCCTGCCTCTTCCTAGTTTCTCCTGCGTTGAACAAGAAAACAAATTACCGTACATGGAAGGAGATAACAAAGTTTAGAGAGAGAGAGAGAGAGAGAGAGAGAGAGAGAGAGAGAGAGAGTTGGGAGCGCGACAGAGAAAGTTCGAGGAGGAGGAGGAATTTCTGGATAGGTCTGGACAGTTTTAGAGAGAGAAAGCTCTGGAAATGGCAACGCCGCTGCCGGAACTGCAAGGTGGAGAGGGGACGGGGGGAGGTGGAGCTGTGGCGGTTTTAACGAATTCGGTGAATTCTTCCTGTGCGAAGTCGTTTGGAGGCTTCTTCGAGAAGTCCGAGGAGAAGTCTCCTATTTTGATTTTCTTGTTCTTCCACAAAGCCGTCCGCAATGAGCTCGAGGCGCTACACCGGTTAGCCATGGCTTTCGCCACAGGCCAGGGGGCGGATTTACGGTCTATGCTCGAACGGTGCCGTTTCTTGAGATCGATATATAAGCAGCACTCAAATGCTGAAGACGAGGTAAAAACAAACTTAATCTCGTTTCTGCCTGTTGAGATGTTTAAAAGTCGTTCTAACTTTAAGTTTCCATTTTCTGTTTCCATGTTCCTTTTTCTGCTTTTAACTGCGGTGCGGTGACTCTGGGATTTCTTTTTGAGAGAGATGGTTTGGTTTTTGGTTATGGAGATAGAAATGCAGGAAGCTTTTGAGGATTTATTATTTTACAACTGGACTGTTGCTTGTACTTCAGGAATATCATCTTCCTTTTCTTTCTTTTTCGCAAATTTTCGACGGCTATGAAGTATTGATGCATCGATTACTACCTTTCCGGCTTGGTTCTTGTTTCCGTTGACTTCACTTATTGTTTGAACGAGTAATGTGTAGTTGTTGTACCGGAATACAGATTTTTGTTCTCAAAACACGAGGTTGTTAGAGGTTTAAAATTTTTACACGGAGAAAGTAGAATTTCACTGTTTCAGTTTTATCTGCATTGTTTGCGTCAGCATCTCCTTTGATGCAAACTCCTTCTGCTAAAATGTATAAAATGGAAGAAGAATAAGAAGGATTTTCTTTTTTTCCCAGAGCTGTTGATATTAGAATTAGACATCGATTACTTGAAAATTTGCTCATTATTGTGTATTTTTGTGCGTGTCCCGCAAGTTTAAGTGTTGGAATCCCTAGGAAGGTGCATGGTCAAAAGTGGAGTTTGTTTAGTCCCTTGGAAAGCTAGTTTCTCAACGGTATGAATTATGGTTACACTGGGGAGAACAAGTTATGCTGACTACTCCCTCCTACATTGGCTTCAGCAAGTAAAAGGACTAGTGTTTTGGCTGCTTCTCGCATCTCTTGTTGTATGCTACATAGCATGTTTGAGAAAAGTGGCCTTCTAAAGCTCTTCTCAAGACTTCACATGATCATACTCTGCGCAAAGCAAGTAGAATCTATAAGATGCATCAGAGTTTTATTTTATGAATTTGTTTCCATATTCTTCATGCTTACTTTATCCAAAATTCTTAACCTTTGATGTAGGTTATCTTTCCGGCTCTTGACATACGTGTTAAGAATGTTGCACGGACATACTCTCTTGAACATGAGGGCGAAGGCAATCTTTTTGATAATCTTTTTGAGTTGCTAAATTCTTTTGTGCAAAGTGATGAAAATTTTCCGAGAGAGTTAGTATCTTGTACGGGGGCCCTTCAGACATCAGTTAGCCAGCATATGGCGAAAGAAGAGGAACAGGTGTGCTTTTTATCTGGTTGTTCGAATTCTTGTATGGTTCTTAGTGTAACTATTACTCTATTCTATTGTTGGTTCATGCTGTAAATATCAGAGAAAGAAATATATTTAAGGAGCAGAAGGTAAATTTCCTTCTGATAGTGGAATACTTAAATAGCTTTCAACAGATTCTGATATATTTATGTTTCGAATCAAATTACTCATTTTCATGGTTTTCATCTTTTCCTTTCCATTTTTGTAATACCTTTGGGTATTGCTATGTCCTTTATGGCTTTGAATAAGTTGTTTATATGTCTATATATGTCTATATATGTCTATGCTACATAGAGGTCTCTTATGTTAATAACTTACAAAGATACATGCAGATGTACGAACAATCTGTGTGCACTTGTTCCTCTCTTATAATCCTTATTGGAGCTTATACCTATTTTATCCCTGAGCCTTTTATGTCCTTACCATCTCTTTCATCACCAAAGTTCTTGTGACAGATCGCGGTTACTGTGATCTGTTCCTGCCAATATACTGCTTTTGATATATGGATCTTGCAAATGTGATTTAGTTATGGTTTTTAGCTGATGGTGGACCCAGAATGTGGTTTGTAAATTCTTCCTTCAAACTGTTATACTGCGAAGCGGATATTTAACCAAAACTTAAATACTTATTTAGCTAATCAATCCGATAACACCTTTTCATGATTTTGCTTTTAACATGGGAAAATTGATTCTGGGGAGTTTATCTTCTTCATATTGTTGAAGATATCTTATCTTATATGGTGGACCTTATTGAAAGCTTCTTTGAGTTTCAATTAATTTCTCATTGATTATGTCAGGTATTTCCCTTGCTTGTTGAGAAGTTTTCATTTGAAGAGCAGGCATATCTTGTCTGGCGATTTTTGTGCAGCATTCCTGTGAATATGATGGAAGAGTTTCTTCCATGGCTTTCATCCTCTATCTCACCTGATGAGTATGAGGAGATGCGGATGTGCCTAAGCAAGGTAGTTCCAGATGAGAAGCTTCTTCTGCAGGCAAGGTTTTTAATTATTATTCATTCCTTTGAATTGTATTTTAATTAAGCTAAATTTGCATAGCTGATTGCTGCACTTGGTTATTGAAGGTTATCTTTACCTGGATGGAAAGGCAAAAAGGTGCTTATATGGTTGCAAAGTATGTAAATGATCCTCATGTCCAGCATTGTCTATATTCCACTGCTAGTACATCAACCCAACAAACAAACACGCTACAGTGTGCTTGTGAGCCAACCAAGACTAGGAAAAGGAAACATTTAGAGCCAGCTTCTGGTGTTTATGATACTGCTGGGGCACATCCTATTGATGAAATATTGCTTTGGCACAATGCTATTAGAAAAGAACTGAATGAGATAGCTGAGGAAGCCAGAAAAATTCAGGTTTCTGGAGAATTTTCTAATTTATCAGTCTTTGATGAACGCTTGCAATTTCTTGCTGAAGTATGCATCTTTCACAGGTATCTGGTTTTCACTCTTTTACCATGAAGTCATTGGGTGCTAATTCTTCGACTTGGAACTTGCTTATTTGTTTTTAGTTTAGTCTCCAGGATTCTCTTAGATCAAAAGCTAAAATGTTAACATTCTGATTGACCTTACAACTTTTTTCTTAATTATCTTTTTTGATATAGTATGCTCTCAAACCTTTTTACAGGGCAACTAAAGAGAGTTCTTTAGCCACTCAAGCACAAGGGAGGGGAACCCCTAGAGCCTCTTTTTAATTTGTTTTTCCCATAGAATTCACTTCAGATATTGATTTTCTCTTTCCTGTGGGTTTAAATAATTGAAGCTTATTATGGAATATAATAATAAAAGCATCAATGAGTCTCCACCATATGAGCTTTAAGGAGAATCAGTCCCTTTGCTTTAGAACCTACGATGATCCCATATATTTAAAAATGAAAGGGATGAAAAGAAGGTAAATAATGAGCATAGTCTGAGACTTCTTTGAAGCTACCCAATTTTACCTATATTATGCTTTTCCCTTTGGAAGTAAGCTTCTCTCCATTTTTCTGCTTTTCCCACATTGCTGTCTCCAAAACTTGTCAGTTATATATATTGGAAATTGTACCCATCAATAGTAGGATCTTTAGATTTTTTATTTCGGTGTTCATCTGAGGCACATATCTTCTTCTTTACAGTGTTGCAGAGGATAGGGTTATTTTCCCTGCTGTAGATGGAGACTTCTCCTTTTCCCAGGAGCATGCCGAAGAAGAAAGTCAATTTAATGAGTTTAGATGTTTGATTGAAAGTATACAGAGAGCAGGAGCGGTTTCCACCTCAGCTGCTGAATTTTATTCAAAGTTATGCTCACATGCTGATCAAATAATGGAAACTATACAAAGGCACTTCCACAATGAGGAAACACAGGTGAGTTTGTAGCTGGTTTGGAGTAATGCAGGCAGGATTTTTTTTTTTTGGTAAAACTGAATTAGTATTGTCCAATCAAAATGAGTTGGGAAGTTGAGGAGTCTGGTGATGTAGGGAAACTGAACTAGATCTTTGTATGTTCTTGCATTGTGGAAACAAAAATCCCCTTTTCCCTTTCTTTGAATCTACGGTTTAATAAACAGTGCATTGGTAAACACTTGTGCTGCTGAACATCCCTGTTGATTATAAGAGCTGTCCTTACATATCTAGGTTCTTCCACTTGCTCGAAAGCACTTTAGCCTCAGAAGACAGCGGGAACTTCTTTATCAAAGCTTGTGTTTGATG